TATCATTTAAACATGCTTTTGAAATTTTCAATATGAATTTATACTCCTATATATATATATATAATCCTATATATAATCTTGAAGGACGTAACTTCAGTGCGCCACTTTTTATTATATATATTTAGATTAATATGTATTTTTTTTGATGCCCTCCCCCTCTATTAATTTTTAACTGTTTTTATAGTATGCATGTCATTCAATTACATGAAAAAAAAAGTTTTTTAAAAAATTACTATTTATTATGTAATCTATTGATGATATATTTAAAAAAATTATAATAACATATTTTATATCCAAATATCGTGACGGCACCCTCCCGATTATGCGCTTGCATTTTTCGCATGCGTTGTATTCGAGGTAGCGCCGGCCCTGTAGATATATATATATATATATATATATATACAGGGCCGATCCTGGGGTCCTTAGCGCCCGCATGCAACTTTTTTTCTAGCGCCTCCCCCCACCCTATTAATTTTCACCGTTTTAACAGTTTATCATTAAAATTATATAAATATTTACATATTTTTTAAAAATTAATTTTTAATTATTCTGGATTTAGTACACAAAAAATTAGATATAATCTAGAAGGGTATAAAATATATTGATTTTAAATTTATTTATTATTATCGATATCAATAAATAAAACAATCCCTGTCATAATTTCACATTTTAGTAATATTCAATATGTAGTAAATTGGTTAAGGATATAAGTTCGACTACCATAGGCAAACGAATTAATATTTTTGTTAGATTAAAGTTATAGAATTTAAGAAATGCATTTCAGAAATAGTATTTATTATTTTGATATAAAGATCTTGATATAAAATTGAAATAAAATTGAATAAGTAGATTAAGCAATAAACAGAGCTTGTTAATTGTTAATTGTTTCTACTGATATCACATTGCAAAATAAATATGCTTTTTGTGTCTCCGTATCACTAATTAAGTTAAATTATTAATTATAATTTATTAGGTATTCTAGATTTTAAATAAATAATTCTAGATTTTATATAAAAAAATATAAATATTATATTATAAATTTAACTTCCGAAACTCGTTTTGGCGCCCCCTAAGGCTTGGGCCGCATTTTTTGCATGCATCGCATGCAAGGCAGGACCGGCCCTGTATATATATATATATATATATATATATATATATATATATATATATATATATATATATATATATATAAATAAATATATGTTCCATATAAAAGAAATTATCATAAAATGTTAAAATGTTGTTATGTGTTATATTTTACGAAGTGTAAGTGCCCGGGTGAAATAATTGCCCAATTGATTATCACCTGATATAACCCATGGAATCAAAAAAACGATAAAAATATAAATTACTATTTTCCATTTACCTAGATGTGTTATGTAAATACAGAAGTACTAATTGTACATGCATGTACAATAATTCCATATTTTACTTTTGTTTTTCGTTCATGACTGTTGATATAATGGAATATTGATAGTGTGTGGTGAGCTATTTTTGTATTTCGATTAGCATGACATTATGGAAATTTTGTATTTAGGCTGCCTGAATATAATAGTCAAGTTGATGACATTTACAAAAATTATAGCCGTGGTTTAAATCTGTTAACTTATTTCATAAAAAATGGATTTTGTTTCAATAATCGCGCATACTGCATTATTGAGTGGTATTAACTATAAAAATCTGACAAAGGATTGTATGTTACGAATAATCAATTTAGTACAAATGATAGTGTCATATGTTATAAATATGCAAATAACTCTCATGAAATATTGTCAAGCGTTGGCGTTTGCCCAGCAAAAATGTTTCATTGCGTACATTTTAAAGCCATAAACGGCCGATACATAAATAATGATTTTAAATGCTTTTTCATGAAGGTATGAAAAATATTCAATATTTTCCTAGTAACGTGTAAGCTTAAATTACAGAATTTGCATGGAAAATGTAAAACTGCCTGAAATAATGTTTTATTCAGCTAGTACATAAAATACTTCATATGGGAGAATGCGGATTAACACACGATTATAAAATATTTAATTAAAATTATAGAATTTTGTATATAGGTATCAAGCATGTAATGACCACACAAAGGGAATTTGAATTTTAGCAGTTATTTTAAAATGATGGAAATAAATAAATAAAAAAATGAAATGTTAAATGAATATTATACATTTTAGTAGAAGTAATGTATTAAAACACGGAAAGTGATGAAAAATTATCAAATGCTCAAAGTGATAAAAAATTATCAAAAGCTTTCGAAAGCATTTATTATATATTTTCTTGTAAGACGTTGAGAGTATTAATTTCTATATCCAAAATAAATTAGTCTTAAATAATTGTTATGCACAGAGAAATGCTTCACATAAATTACTTATAATTATTATTGCTATTATTGTTATTATTTTAATTATCATTCATTCATTTATTTAATCGTTTTTTTCTTGCTTTCTTTTTTTCTTTGTTTTGATTTTCATTACCCACTTTCAGCTTATAGATTTTAATGTAATCCAATTATTGGAACAAGAAGTGAATAATAAAAAAAATCACGTTTTAAATACAACTAGTGATATTCTGTTTTGATCATAAAGATAATTTTATAATAATGATAAATTAATAATGAATTATAATAAATAAAAAACAATTTTTTTTTGGAAAATATATTCCAGAAAAAAGTGGGTAAACGTTTATTCATGGTTGTAACAAATCTTTCTCTAGTATACATTGGGAAAGATATTCTTCAATAGGATGTCTACGTCTAAATGCGACGACCTTGAAATTAGAATATAAATCCCATCGGCCCACAATGGAGTCTCGATATTCCAATATTCCCATACATTCTTGAGTTCACAAGAATTGATGCGACTCGATCAGAATGGCTCAATAAGAGCACGTTGAGTGCCGTTCGATTATCGTTATTTTGTTTGTGTTTCGTGTTTTATACCGCGCTCGGGATGTTCTTATCACGATCGTCCGTGATCCTGCCGAGAACCAGGATTACGATATGCATACAAACATCTCTTCAGAAGCGGTCATGACTGGAATATTGGGATAATTTCCCACTAGCACGGCACGAAAATTGCATCATTTCATGTAGTAGACTAAACAACTCTACATGAAAATGCATGCAATGCTAGCACGGTTGGACAAAATCGACCTAATCCTAGCTAATTAAACAACGAATCAAAACATTTAGACAACTCACTAGCAAGTCCGCTTAAACAGGCAAGTATTAATTCATGAGAAAGATATATAGAGGTTCAATAAATTATAATGGATTTGGATTCGCTATCTAAAATATAGATAATGTTTATCACTGTCATTGCTAAAGCCAAAACTAATTAATTTAGTTATCGCAGAACGCCCTAATTACAAGATTAATTGCATTTTGGAATTACGGCTTTGAACGATAATCTGTTGATTCGATTTTTGCTCATGCTTTTCAAATTGTAACAGTATGCTCGTTTCAAAAGTCAATTTCTGTCGGTCCAAGATATAGATGTGTACTTGCAAGAAAAATATTAATACGGTTGGAGGTGATGCTCATACCATTGTACCTATATACGTATATTGCCAGAACTTTTCACAGAAAACAAGAAAAGGTCTTTAGAATGAAATTGTCCCGAATGCTTGGATATATCTTGCAGCATATGATAAATTATCGTTGCAATGAGAAAACATCCAGGAGAATAAAGAGAATGAAAACAAAGAGCAAATCCACTTCTATGTGATAGAGTATAGTATCCAAGCGACAAGTTTGATAAACGTATTTTCAGTATCATAAAATAGATCAAAATGAATGAATGAAGACATTGAAGATTATAAAAAAATCAAAATAACTATATTTTGTAATAAGATATAATATATAGGTTTAAAATAAATACGCTTTCATTAAATGCATGCTCAAATATTTGATAATTGTTAGTAGTAGTTTTTTCTGCTATACGTTTAGGTAAAGAGTTAAACCCGTCCTCGACTTGAAACATATTGCCTATTTTTATTCAAGCTTATATTCACTATTTTTCTAAAATAATTAAAAAACGGAACAAATTTTAATGTAGTGTGTTCAGTGCATTGATATAACCTTACGTGTAATAAAATAAATTTCATAAGCCGACACGTATATCGAACACAGTTTCATCCTTTAGCTTTGGACCTATCCACTTCGCCGAGCGTTATATCTCCGCAATTCGATTTGAAGTTATATACCTAATATCTGTATATATTATTTACCAATCTTTCCACCGTCGGATTTCTCAAAAAGACCCTGTGGAATGCGAGTATACAAGTGTTATCCTATAAATACATCACTATACTTAATACCCTTTCTGATGCCGTAACGCGGCATAGGGCTCGCCAGGCGTAGCTGTAAATCATCCCCCAACCCATCGAGAGCGTAGCTGCCAGAATCAGCCAATGTATAGTTTGTTCTATAGGCGCCCTACATTGTGCGCTACGCCAAGTAAATATATATTATGCCGGTTGTTTGCACAAATGTTCCTGCATTTGTGGGACACTATTTCGTTATTTTCACATATTTTTATGTTCTCATATCATTCATGGATTCTTAATATTTATTATAACATCGATAATATTATTGCTGATTTGCTAATATTGTTGCTCTTATTAATCTGGTTCAACAGTATGATCTGAGTTATAATTTAGAGGTATAATTGTTAACGTTGTATATTATAAAAGGAATCATGCTACTTATAATATGTTTTGTTATATTAAGCGCTCCAATGGCTTTTATGACATATGTTTCATCAAACAAAATTTGTGTACTGTACTTGAATACCAATAGCAAGCTAATAGTTCAGACTTTAAAGAACAATATAATGACAATATTAAAAGTTAACACAAAATATCTATTAAAAATATTTAGTTAAAATTATTCAACTATTAATTTTATATCATATTTTATTGCCAAGACATATATTCCTAGCAATAAAAGAGCATGATACTTTATTAAGTCTTTATTAATATATAATTTCATACATTGTCTATAACTATTAATAAATTAACCATGTTTATTGCTCTTCTTTGCTTGTGGTTTTCCAAAAACTTTTCCAGCATTTTTATTTCCCTTCTTATTGAACTTTGGTGCATCTCTTGATTTATTTTTGCCAAACTTTTGCTTAGTCATTTTGTCCTGTTTTTGTTTTACGTTAGCATCATATCTCAAACGCTTTGCTCCTTTGTTACTAACGTCACACAAGTCATTAGTAAAATTAGACTTTCTCTTTTTTCCAGGCGTTGCCTTTTCACCTTGGAATCCATCAACACACGATCTTATTTTTTTGGGTTTATTTTTCTTCTTTGCTAACCTAGCTTGAACCAATGCTACTTTATCCATTTCTGCTCTAACACGATCTTCAGCTGTAGGCTTTGCTTTAGTTTTCTTTTTTGCTACATTGTGAAAAAAATTAATATGAAATAATATTCAGATACATCAATATTTGTAATAACATACCTTTTCCTGGTAATTTATCAGTGATATGATCACCAACTGGACCAGAATCCCTGTTCTTTTTAGTTTTTTTGGGTTTGGCATTGTCTTTGGGTTGTAGTGCCAATTTCATTTTCTCTTCTTTTCGTTCCTCTCTAGTTTGGAACCATGGGCGATGAACTTTCTGATCACCTTTATCCCCTTGAAGTGCCTTCTCAATCTTATTTGCTTGATTCTCTGCTCTATTCAAAACTCTTTCAGCATATTCTTCTTTTAAAATACCTTCTATCTCAGGCTCTATATTTATTAATTTATTCTTGTATTTTTCCAGAATGTCTGGAGGTATTATTCTACATTTTACAGTATTACGGGCACTTTTTACAACTTCTTTCACAATTTTTCTTTCTGCTTCGCCTGCCAAACTCACAGAAACACCAGATCTTCCAGCACGAGCTGTTCTACCAACTCTGTGGATATAATGTTCAAGAGTAGCTGGCATCACAAAGTTTATAACTGTTTTAACACCACTTATGTCGAGACCTCTAGCAGCAACATCAGTAGCAACAAGGACATCAATTTCTTCGTCTTTGAATTTTTTCAGAGCTTCTAAACGTTGAGGTTGAGTTAAATTTCCATGAAGTTCTCCTACTTTAATTCCTAGTACTCCTAGTAGAATATGTAACCTATGCGCTTGCTTTTTGGTTTGTACAAAAACCATGCAATGATCATGAAATGTTCGACATATGAGTGCTGCTAAAATGGGTTCTCTATCTCCTTCCTTTCCAGCACGAATTCTAACAAATTCTTGCCTTAAATTAAATGCTACATCTTTATTATTGTCTACAAATATTTTAACAGGTTTCGTCAATGAAACACTAGCTAAGTCCTGTACTTGTTCTGTCATTGTAGCAGAGAATAGCATAGTCTGCCTTGTTCTCGAACATTGTTTGATAATTTCTTTCATCTGTTCTGCAAAATATTCATCTAACATCCTGTCAGCTTCATCCAAAATTAGAACCTCAATGGAATGTAAACTGAATGTAGGTGTATTTTTTAAATGGTCAATTAAACGACCAGGGGTTGCTATAACAATATCTGGATTTTTTCTAAGAACAGATTCTTGGGCTTTCAGATCTAATCCCCCAACAGCTAAACCACATTCCAATGTGGTAAATTGACATAATTGCTTAACTACCTGATAGACTTGTACACCCAATTCTCTTGTGGGAACTAGAACTAAAACTCTAGTAATGGCCGCTGTGTCCAGTGGCCGGTATAATAATCGCTCAACTGTAGGAAGCATGTATGCAGCAGTTTTACCAGTTCCAGTGGCAGCGCATCCACAAATATCTCTTCCCAATAAAGCGACCGGAATAGTTGCCGCTTGAATAGGAGTAGGATGAACATAGTTCATGTTTCCTATTGCTTTCATTAAAGGCCTTGACAGATTCATTTGATAAAATGTGGCATTAGCATCATGTGCGGGTGCTTCCTCAAAATAATCTTCAGGTAACTCAATTTGGGTACCATCTTCAATTTTTTTATTCTTTTTACCTTTTTTTTCTTTAACTCGTATATTATCATTCTTCAATTCATCGTCAGATAAATGAATGTAGTCAGTACTTTTATCTGTAATAAAGTCACGTAGGTAACAATTGATATAAAAAATGTTGAAGTATGATACCAGACTTTGTCGCAATGGAAAGATATGTTCAATATGTCTCGAAGTTCTTAAGATAAGATACACTGAGACAAAAACACAGAATTCTGGCTAGATAAGATACTACCTTCCTAACACTAATTCTAAACCTTAGCAGTTGACAAGAAGAACCAACAAATGTTAGCCTACGAAGCTGCCTTAGCCTAATTAGAAAATCACAAACTGAAGTGATTTCTATATTATTTTAATCTTATCATAATAGAATATAAAATTGTAATTTGTTTGATGTTTTTAAGATCAATGAAAAATATACTAGACGATTAGCATATTATGAGATCACGAAATAAACCACCACCATTTTCAAGATTGTTAAAACATTCACTTACCATTAACATCTTCATTTTCTGAATCTATTTCTATTTTAACATCTGAATCATTCAATTTTTGTTTCTTTCGTGCTTTTTCTATTTTATCATCTGTCTTCGATGTTGCTTTTCGTTTTACATATTTCATAAGATCGTTCCATGTATCTTTATTATACTCTGATGTCGATGAGACAAATTGGAATCCTGTTTCAAAATCCATTCGTTTTTTCTTTTTTTGTTTTGTGGGCTGAAACTGTGGAACGAAACTTTATTGACTAAGTTTCAAGCATTTTCAATTTCAATTTGGAGATAATTCTTACCTCAACCTCCGGATCTGAATCTTCAGAAAAATTTTGCACATCTTCATCATCATCGTTAATTGTTCTAATAATATCTGAATATTTATCAACAGCCATTCTTTTAAATAATTAACACATTTGTAAAAGAAAACAGTTTAGCAAGAACGCACGTGTATACTGGTAGTCAAACTATTAGGTTATGCGATATGTGGTTTGACAAGTCTTACAACATTTATTCTTTGAGATAATAGATGGCATATGCTTCTTTGGCTCGAAATTCAAAATTTCAAATCCGATAGATTATCTAAATAAATATTTCCTTTATACAAATGTCACAAAATTAGAGCACTATTTTTCAAATATTTTTGCAGGATATAAAATTCATGCATTTATAAAATTTCTTTCTAGAATTATCAAAATAATAACAAAATAAATAATAAACTAGTGAAGCGCATGGCAACGTGCCTTAAAGCAAATTGCTGAAACCGTACCAAAAACTATTTTTTTTGAAAAGATTAAAATTTTTGAAAAAATTAGATTTTTGAGAAACTATGAATTTTTGACAAAATTTACTTTTTTAGAAAAAAAAGACTGAAAAAAATTTTCTTTATTTTGAAGTATTTTGGAAATTCTGAACTTTTTTCAAAGCAATCGTACTACTTTATCTGCATAGAGAAGAAATATCGAAGCGCGTAAGCGCCGCGTCGCCGTCTAACTGATAAGCATTGTTACGAAACCCATAGGAATGTAAACAAAATTTATACTACTAATCGTCATTTTTGACCGCCAAATGGCATTTTTTTACTTTCATCACTAGATTCACGAAACCGCTAGACCTGCCTTTATGAAAATTTATTCAGTTCTTCATCTTGTCAATACAAGTAAAATGTTTTTTGAATCATTAAAATCGGATGCTCCGTTCTCTTAAAAACTGAGTTACCGTTTATGGCACTTTTTGTCCCGTATCTTCGAAACGGCTAGACCTGCCTATGCCAAAAACTAATCAGTCCTTATTAACAGCAATCGAATGTTTTTTGAATAGTTGAAATCGGTTGAACGGTGTTCCCGAAATCGTCGACGAAAATTTGTATCCGCACACGCACACGCACATACAAACATACACACATAGAAACATACACACATAGAAACATACACACATAGAAACATACACACATACAAACATACACACATATGCACATACACAACCACACACATACATCCATTTTTCTAAGGTATGCCATAATGTTCAAAAACCTCTGAAACGTAAAGATATATAAAAATTTACATTTTCAATTTTTTTGCGATTACTATAACTCACCCTACGGGAAGTTAATAATTAAATATAACTATATGAATAAATATCAATTTGAATATACGCTGAGGTAGTTCAAATCAACAATAGATTAACGACATGCTTATTTATCAGTTAGATGATATTTAATTTAATTTTTATATTTACATTTGCATTTATATAAGCTGTTAATATAAGTATATTTAATTATAATTAATTATATACATTAATTTCATTTGTTTATTTATCATTTATTTCTTAAATTATAGTATATATATATTTACTTTTTATAATTATTTTTATTATAGTTAGTAATATTTGTTGATTATTGTTTAAAAGAGAAACACTTCTAACATCTTTTAACTGCGTATATAAACTGAAACGTCTACGAAGCCGGCTCGTAGCGCCGGGCTCGTAGCAACCTCCCACCCACTTGGACTCGTCTGCGTAGCGAACTGGCGCGAACTCAAAGCGAATACAAAATACTTATGTTGCAAAATTAAAACAGAACAAACAATATAAATGCTTTGTTAAAACTACAATACTGTTGGACTACGTAATTTTATTAAGGAGTACCTTAAGTACCAAGGAGCTCGTAAGCATAAAATTTTCATGAATAGCTTGTGCCTTATTTTAATATGACGATACAGCAGAAATTTCACAAAAGGAAAAAGGTTACCTAAACTACGTAATTGAATATTTCTGGATAATATAAAATTGCTTTGCATTAGTTTTAATAAAGTATAAATTGATTTGTTAATTAGACAATAAATTTTATATTTCTAAGCAAAAACTAGTTAAATCTCATAATAAAACATATTTATTTCTATACTTATTTATATCATACTTAGTTAAATCTTATATAATTTATATCGAAGTTAGTAATTCGAACGAATATATTTATGTGAAATAAAATTGATTCAAAATCTTTTTAAAAAAATATTGAAACTATGTGAAAAATATTTTTTTTTTCAAATTTATAAAACATAATTTGTTATAGTCCAATCGAAACACATTCCTTCTTTTTATTGCTGAACGTCAGAAAGGCGAAGGAAATTCATTTGGAGTTCGATTGTCTACGATGGCTTTTCGCCAAAATTTAATGCAGGTTTTTTGGCCATCATTGCGTATATTTTGATATATTTTTATTTTAATTCAATTTTCTTGACGCTATTAACTGAATTCTATTTAGCGCTCTACAATAGTATTAACAAAAAAACATAAGCTAATAACAGTTAATAAACATTCTATTTTAGTTAAAAATGTTAAAAAGTTTTATATAAATGATGTTGAGAAAGAATTTTAAGAAAAATTGTCTTGGTTTATCCGATATTACAACTGGCATATAATTTGACTATTGAGGTCCTAGAATACCAATAATTATTGCTAAGTTAGATAACTTGTAGAAATGTGAGATTACATCGTCAAACCAATATATTATCCAAACTTTCTTATTTAATCTAAAATTTTGTTGGCCCTCAAAAAATAGTTTTCCTCGTACTAATTTCCCATCAGAAGCATACGAAACGTTGGCATGGTTTATCATTTATAACTATACATGGGCCTTCGATAAATCATCCACCATTGTAGAACAAAAGCTCCAGTATAATGCTCGGATCAAATATAGGTCATGTCTGCTTTTTGCGCAGTCGATTTTATTGCCATGCAGTTTTATACCATTAATTTTATGTTTAAATTCAATGAAATCAATTATATGGTACAACGTTCAATTGTATAAAAGATTATAGATTGAAGCTAACATCTTGGAATTACTTATTGCTTGGTCATTATTATAAACTGAGTATCGTATATGTATTACGTTACTAATGCCATTGTGTAATTTTCAGAAAATTTTCCTTTGTGATTACATATGATATAATGAGATTTATCGATGCATAATAATCTTCATCTAAAAGGTAAATGCAAGTCAAATCAGTATACCCAAAGAAATATTAGTATACCCAAACTTAGTGTGGTCATAAAGTAACTCTTCTGGTTCAAACAAAAATCTTTGAAAAATGAACTATATTATTAAAGATTTTAAATACAGCAATTTTCTAAATAGTATATATTGATTATACATTAAAGAATAAAATCACACTTATTGTTATTAACCTCATTGTTAATAGAAATAAAAAAAGCTAATAATATTTTGGGGTAAAAAATTAAGTTACAAGATGAAATTTAAAATTGAAAATAAATATTATATTTTAAATAATACAAAATTGACATGATTTATTTATATTTCAATTATTTAATACTGCCTCATTACTTAGTTCTTGGTAATAAATTACGATTATCATGACAACCTTCATATTTCTCATTAGGTGAAATTAATCTTGTCAATTGTTTGTGAAATATGAAACACAAACAAGTTATAGAATTTCCTTATTTTGTTAATTATTAATATCGTTTTATGGCAAAGACTAAGAACAGGAATTAATTATTAGGGCATTTAAATTGAGCTACATTATACTGATTTAATTAGTTAAATAAACAGAATGAACAGCGAACCAAAATCTTGCTTCCAAGAGCAAATCGTAATATCTTTGTAGTCATTGTAAGAGGTGTGCGCGGATTTAATGTGCACACATTATTCATTATATTCTGTTAATCTAAATAACATAATTATTTATTTATATTTATCTTCATTTTGTTAATTATTCATAAACAAGCTTTTGAGGAGAAAACTATGAATTATTAATCTTGTCAATTGTTTGTGAAATATGAAACACAAACAAGTTATAGAATTTCCTTATTTTGTTAATTATTAATATCGTTTTATGGCAAAGACTAAGAACAGGAATTAATTATTAGGGCATTTGAATTGAGCTACATTATACTGATTTAATTAGTTAAATAAACAGAATGAACAGCGAACCGAAATCTTGCTTCCAAGAGCAAATCGTAATATCTTTGTAGTCATTGTAAGAGGTGTGCGCGGATTTAATGTGCACACATTATTCATTATATTCTGTTAATGTAAATAACATAATTATTTATTTATATTTATCTTCATTCTGTTAATTATTCATAAACAAGCTTTTGAGGAGAAAACTATGAATTATTTAAATTATACTCAATATAATTTATAATGTATGTATATAATATAGTATTTTTGTTCGCATAGTATATTATGTTGATTGAGTTTTTGAAATTGTTTTATTTTAAGTTTGAACAATCCCTAAACACGTTTCTACTTTTAAGGTTCATAATGACGTTATTATCTTTTGCCAATGCAAAATATCATTTTCCTCCACGTGCTATTGATGTTTATTATCATAATACGAATAAAATCGAATAGAGTCAATTCTTACACTCCATGGTAATAATACGTGCGCATCTTTCAAAAGTAGAAAGTTTTATTAGATTTCTTTACTTTTTCTCAGAACTCACTTTAGCTTTGCGCTTTAAATCAATATACGTAGATATATTTCCAGACTATTGAGTTTTATTTTATAAATTTTGGTGTTTTATTTTGCATTTTAGTATAATAAAATTAATTTACTTGTGTCTAGTTTATAGATTTTTATAAAAATTTTGATTTTATATTGGGACAACTAAGATTTGACCAACTTCAAATCTCTTCAAAACTTACTCACACAGACGGAAAGAGGATTACTCGAGGAAAAATTTAGAATTTTTAGTTTTTAGCAAACATCTACAGCCTCGTGTATTAACAATCAACATTTTTAGTGAACGTACAATTTTGTTTGTGATAGAATATTAATGTGAAAAATTAAAAAATATTTTGGTTATTCAAATATTTTCTAATATTTTTAATAATATTTTTTTTTATATATATTCAAATTTTAATTGATTTTTGTTAATTTTCAAATAATTAATTAAACGTATAAATTTATAAAAAAAGTTTTCTTTGTCATTGAAAGGTCATCTCGAAGCTAGA